ACTAAAATAACCCAAAATAAAACAGAAAAAAACCTTACAAAAAAGTAAAATAAAACGTTAAAAAAAGATTAATTTAAGTCAATTATTACAGATTTATTATTATTAGTATTATTATGCTTAGATATTGTAGATTTCTAAATTTGGGAAATAGGTACAGCTACATATATATTAAAACTTTTTTATATATCTACCTAAAATAACTAAATATAACATTTAAAATTTTTAAAATATTTGGGTGATCATAAAAAAATGTTAAAATTCCATAACAGTAAACTTCTAATAAGTAGTTCTTTATCTTTTCTTTCAATTTGCCTGCTGCTTCTTTCACGCAAGAACCGTCCCAAATTCAGCTCGACCGATAACCACAAATTAAAACCGTCATTTTTGCATGATGATGTAACGGGGCACGGTGAGCAGAAACGACAGTGAACGCATTCGAAACGAAATGGATTTACTGTTAAAAGTGCCTAGGCAATAGCTTGCAAATAGCGGTACTCTCTTTCACCGGACAAAGTAACCATACTATCTCTTATACACATAACATTGCTCGGTACTATTTGGTGGCGCAGGAGGTCATTGCTATTCCAAGGTCAGCAGCCGCGGCAATCTTTCGAAGACCATTGTCTTTGGGTCACTGTGCAACTATCTGTAGTTGTTTTTATGCCATATTCGTCGATTCAATTCTGCGATTATGATCGTGATGCTACCTACCAATGTACAGTTAGCATCTGCTCAATGGGTTACCAAACTATTGGGTTTACGAGAATCACGCTTAAAATTACCAATTTTAAATCGGCTTAAATCGAATATCTGTTAAAGTTAAATATTTAGAAGGGTCACAAGGCTTAAACTTGGGGTTGCCATATTAGTCCTCGTGAAATACAATAATCTAGTAAGAACATTTTAAAGTTTATGAGTTAAAAATTATTACGCAGGAAAACGTTCTTAGTGCCCTGGCAAAATACTGTATTTTTATGAAATAAGGTTTTATGTCACCGAGAAAATAACACAGTAGCCATTGATGTGCAGAACACTACTCAATATATAATGTCAATGTACCATTTGAAATCATATAATTTCTCAAGAAAACTATTCAGTTCTTGTAATTTCTAATAAAACCTCACGGTTTACTTTGAAAACAGCAATGGTTATTTTTGTCACATCAATATATAGTTCCAGGAATATTCAGCAATATTCTGAACACTAAATATTTTTTCAAATAGTTTATTGAGTTTATTACTGTTCTGCGCTTCAATGGTTACTGTTTTATTTTCTCCGTGTACTCAGGGCCATATTACCCATTAGGCAGGAAAGGCAATTGCCTTAGGCGCCACGTAGAAATAGGCGCCTTGTCCCCAAGCAACTTAAAAAAAAATAAAAATTGTTACCAAAATGTTTATTTTTTTCCAAAAATAAAACAAATAAACAATATACAATTGTAATAACAGAATATTTTTTACAGTTTTTATTATTTTATAAAAATTTACCTTCCTTTGTAATAACGAGGTGTAAAGCCGACAAAAATCGTGCCGCAAATTTACTTCTGTATAAACATATCTTTAGCACTCTTTAAACTATTTCAAAACCCCCGTATGCTCCAAGCACACGGATTCCTCTTGCATCGGGTACCCGCTGTGATGTGCTGCTCACCCTAGCGGGTACGAGCTACTAGAGGAAACTGCTGCCGGAGGGACTTGGGTGTTTTCGCGTTTATTCAAGAGTGGCACTTCTATGTGTTGTGTGTTTGGTGATAGCAGTCTGTGTTCGATAGTTAAGGTTGATTTAGCCTGGCTTTTAAATTAAATTACGTTACGTTAGATTAATCTAATTACGTAATTACGTTACAAAAATGCCGGCTAAATCCACATTTAGATAGTGTTAATTTTTCTGTTTGTTTTAAGGTATTTCTGAAATTTTAATATTAACTAATTACAATAAACCAGCAGTACATCTAACATACAATACAGAAAATTAAAGTAGATTTTATTTTTTTTAAATACTTACTAATGACATCTTGCAGAAAAACGCAGTTATAAGTCCTAACACTTTTTATTTACATTATATTTGTTATTTTTGTATGTTATATATGTTTTTTATGTATTTTTTTAATGATAAAAAGTATTCTAATTCATAGGGAATAATTAGGTTATAATGCTCGGGCGCCCTTAAGCTAACAGTTTGGGGTGGCTCTAATAAGCTTTTTTAAAATTTGCCCCGGGCCTAAGTGCCTAAGGCGCTCAATTGCCTTAAGCCGGCTCTGCGTGTACTACCAGATTATAGAGGCAAGAAAGAGTTCAATCCTTTTTAGCGCTTTTATGTAATAATAATTTATTTAAAATCGACAAACAGTTTTTTTAAATCGTCCACAAAACTTATTTCTGGCACTTACATGTTGTTCTAGCATATCACCCAATTGTGAAAGTGGAGCAGTTTTTGAGATATAGTCAATTTCATATTAAATGGAAAATTGACTATATCTTAAAAACTGTGCAACTTTTTTAACTTTTGACGATATTTTCGGATTCAGGGGACAATTTTACATAATAATTAGCTGTTAAATTTTGGGATACCATGGTATACCATGGTTAACCATGGTACAAGTGAAAAAGCAGCCACTAATAACTATTAAATTAGTCATTTTTGACTATTTCATTTTTAGAGAGTAGTTAAAGTCTATATTAATTTAGAAATATTTAATAATATAAAATAATAATGTAAGTGAATTTACAGTTTTTTTTTATTGCAGAAAAACTACAAAAACATGTTACTTGTTTTACATTATATACCTTAGATTTAAGTTCTAGTCATCACATTATTACCAATATAAAAGTTTAAAAACTTACTATAACAGTACATATTGGGTTCTTTCAACAACTATATAAATACTATAAATAATACCAAATTTGTCTACTCCTAGCTGTCCAACCAACAAATCACAGATATACATCCAGTCTCGTCAAATAATTTCATTGATTTACTTACAGATGTTTCGTATTGCGATTCGTTCTTTTTTTTAACAAATTTGAAAGCTTTTGTCATTTTTTTTAATGTATTTAATTTGTACCTTCATGTAATGTTTTATTATTAGGTAGATACTTATTTGGCTTTTGTAAATCCTTGATTTTTGTAAATTATGAATTTTGCCAAGAAGAATAATAAAAAGTAGCTATTAAAAAAAGATTTTGTTTCATTTCGTATACTCTAATACATGAATGACTAAAGTGATAAAGAAGCCTGAAAAACTGGAGCAAATCACATAATAAATAATTTAACTAAAATATTGTTAAAATAAATTAATATGAAATAGGTACCTCTAGGTATTCTTCAAAATTTGAAGTTAGGGCAAAACCTAGTGTCTCCTTCAGATCAACATTAAAATTTTAGTGATGTATTTGTCAGTTTCTTGAAAATTGAAAAAAGACCAGATCTAAGTGCACAAGATTTCTTAAAGTTCATATTTTCTATTTCCATTTTTATCTCAAATTCATTTCACGCGTGTACTTGATCCACTTTAGCTTAAAACCCCTCATTAGGTGCAAAAAAGGAATCATTAAGTGTTGGTTTGGCCAAGTCAGAAAGAGAGGGAGAAGGGGTAGTTTACAACTTCTAAACTAAAGCAAAAGCACATACTGTCACTGCCACATTAAAAAGTTTCCAATTCCATTTTTTGCCAAACTTTGAACTTTTGATCTTTGTTTAAAGCGACCACTTATTAATAGATACAAACTGTATCCTGATTTCTGGGTAATCTGCTTTGTGGTTCGTGTAAATCAATTTAAAACTGGCAATCCTAGTTAAAATCTATGGTTCCGAAAAAAAAATTGAAATATTTAATAAATACATACATTTATATTGACGTCATTTACTTCGTTTAATAAAAAAATATCTTTGAACTATTCCCAATAAATATAATAAAAATATATATACAATGACAAACAAATATCATTTTAATAACATATAATTTTAAATAGGAACTAAATTATTATATTATTACCTAAATAGCTCTCAAAATTACAGCATTTATAGTAATTCATCGTTTCCATACATTTAATATGGTCTCAGGTTCTACTTTACACAGTAAATGATCCATTGGTATGGATTACTTTTTTAATTTAGGTATGTTTAAGTAAATTATTACCAGTATGTAAATCATACCAACTATTACATAAAAGAGTAAATTTTTTCTGTTAGCCTAGATTTAAAAAAGGTTTTGTTTGGTTTATTGGATATATAAGTTATTTTATATTTTTGCTATTATGCTGTTACTATAGTTTATATTTTTTGTTCTTTGTCCTGTAATTGGAATTTTTTCTGTATGGCAAATAAATTTATTATTATTATTATTATTATTATTATATTCATTTTTAGTTTGTAAAGTTACATATTTCATGCGAGTGTTGAATAATAATTATAATCAAATTACTAGTTATAACACCCGCAAGAAATAAGTAACTTTCTGGCCACTTTGAGGATGGGCAAAATTCTATTTTGCCCACGGGCTAAAAATTAGATTTAAGTTAAAATTGGAAAAAATTAAGTTACAACGCTTTGATAGTTGGCAGATACAATAACCAATAAACTTTTAAATTTCTTGAGGTAGTAAAATATTGTATGCGACTTTCAAGAGGAGATTCCACTTGCGTTTTACAAAACTAAACGCTCGAGGAATCTTATCATTTACCCACTAGTCGCACAATATACTATTAATTAAAAAATTCACATAGTTCATTTACTGCTATAAATCTTAATTCATACATTTTCTTGTCACAATACCGTAACAAAATTACATATTAACAGTTTCGCACATAAATATTTTTTAAGCCCAATTTACATATTTTCTCTAATTATTTACGACACTTCTAATAGTTTATTTACCTATTACTTTTACTGTATTTCACTTTTTTGTTGTATGAAAGTGAATACCAAAACAATAGTTTACAAAATTAATTAGCTTTTGTTTAAATGGTCCTCCATTCTATAAAATTTTATATCGTTTTTAGGCTAGATGCAACCATGGAAATAAAACAACTATGCACATTATGTATGATATATTTGATAGGAACTATAAGGGCAGCCTTTCCACCTAGTTTAAGGTACCCGTTACCTATTGCCGTCAACAAAATAACCGATGTAGAGCTGCATTGCGATGTTGGTAACGTCAACATCACTGTTACCATGGAGCAACCGTTCAAAGGAATATTATTTGCAAAGGATTTCTCACAGGAATGCAAAGCCATAGGTAATAAAATACTTTTTTCATATCTAAGATCTACCTTAAATAACGTTTATTTTAGGTTCTCTAACGAATTCCATATTTCTGGACCTCCCCACATCAGGTTGTGGGGTTAGACTGAACTCCAAAATCAACGAAAATGGTATATTGGAAATGTTTTACAGCGTAACAATTATTGTGCAACAAGACAGGCATTTAAGACAGATTGCAGACCAGGAAAGAATAATACAATGTAGTGTACAAGATAGTGCTTTTCTAATTAAAAGCAAACCTATGTTAGACGTAATCAAGAATGATTTGAGTTCCAGTGTAAAAAACAACAGGTATTTTGTCAAATACTTTGTTTTGTAAAAGCTACACTACTAATGTCTTGTAGGGTGGGTCGGCAGAAAAAACTACAGGGATGGTCCAAAGAATTCGACGACGAACCCCTAGAAGTACAGTTAAATGAAACCTTACTAGCCGCTAGAGCTTGGATGGAGATAATACCAGAACAAATCGATGATAGACCTTTTGGAACCCTACAAGTGGGAGAACCAGCATTTCTATCAGTGAAATCAACTTTACCCGGTAAACAATTTACTACCAAATCGTACATTTTACTCTTGGATTCATAGGACTCCCCACGGGGCACTTAAAAGCCTTTGCAAAATCATATGAATTGCTTATAGCACCAATAACTCTAAAAATACCCGGCGCATGCACAGATGTCTTCATACGACTTTTGGCTGCTTCTAAACGCTGTTGTCCACACCAAACCTGCGCGAAATTAAGAAAAAATAACTGTTTTCCATCCAAGTTAAAACCTGGCAACTTTTCATCAGCACCAGGATTTTTTTTTACCCATGTACCATAGGCTCTGTATGCTTGTTTTAAGCCACCATTATCAGCGATATTTTCTCCTTGCGTTAGGTAACCATCTAAAGGTATATCCACACTGGGTAAAACATAACTGCTATACTGATTAATTAAACATGTCGCCTTTTGGTAGAATTTTTCTATTGATGATTCACGCCACCATAAATGTAGGTTACCTTCATGGTCAAAAAGTCTTCCTTTATCATCGAAACCATGCGTTATCTCGTGGCCGATTACGACGCCTATGCCGCCGAAATTAAGGGCTTTGGGAAAGAATTTGTGGTAGAACGGTGGTTGAAGTATTCCTGCTGGAAACAGTATTTGGTTTTTATTTCTGCTGTAATATGCATTGACTACTGCTGGTGATGTACTCCATAGTGCTTTATTGACTCTATTGCCTAACCTTGTTTGTTCAGACCTTGTTAGGTGCCTTAAGATTGATAGAATATTTTCGAAGAAAAACTCTGGATGTATTTCAATGTCATCATACCTCTCAGCTAACTGTCTTTCGTTCAATATAAAATCTGGAAAACCTATTTTTAAATCCATTTCGTTGATCTTCATTCTAGCATATTCCTTTGTATGAGTATCTAACCAAGGGTTTTCTAGTAGAGTATGACGAAACGCCGTTTCCAATCTTTCGGTCATTTGTATTGTATCATTTCTACTACTTTTATCGAAGTACTTCCTAACGAATAAAGCCCCCACTGCCATCCCCATGTTCGAATTAACTTGAGATACACAGAAAGTCCATCTAGGAGGTTCTTTCTCTCTTCCAAATAAAATGTTGTAAAACTTTTGTTTTGCAGCAGAAAAGTTTGAGTCTAAATTACTTGCTCTATGTCTTATAAACCTCCATAACATATAGTTTTGCAAAACCCTATCAGGTGTAATACTAATCAAGTATATCAACTTTTGTAAGTACTCAGAGCAGTAACATGCCACTGGTGCAGAAGGGATTACGTGATTCCCTAGCACAATACCAAAATATTTTTGCCAGTCGAACTGTGGAAAATACAGCGGCAAAGTCTGTAAGTCTGTTCTTAGATATATGTCTGATACATTTCTTTTTTCTTCTGACGAAGACATTATGAGAGCTAAATTGACCTCAAAGTCTACAATATCGTTTATATCCTGCTGTAAAACAGGTTTTTTATCAGCCAGAATAAGGGAGACATCTCTAATAAATATTCTGTAAGCCACTAGATACTTTCTGTTTGTTATATCCACATAGTATTCTCTTGATGGTAACCCTAGAGAAGTCTGGTCTAAATGAATAATATATTCGTTTGAATTCTTCATATCAGGTCCAACCCATTCAGAGATCAACACATCATTATTTAAGAGTCTTAGCTGGGCTAAAACCCATATTATATCAAACTTTGACTCATCCCAATTGTCACTTACCATAGGCCAACCACCTAACTGATTTATTATTATTTTCAGAGGGTTACCACCTCTTTTATCTATAGCCTTTTCATTCATACAGGACATGTATAAATGTTTTACTTTGATTAACGCACTAGTGCTATCGGTAACTTTGGATTTTAGCATATTATTTGCCACCTCTCCACTTCTGAACTTATGGTCGAATTCTACGGTTAATTTTGGTATTTTAACTTCGTGTAAGATTTCCTTTATGACGAAATCCAGATTTTCCCGCACCATTTCGAAGGTGTCGTACGTAGTGCGATCTGGAGGTATTGTGAAATAGTTTTTCCAGTTTCCACAAGCATAGTCGTAAAAATTTTCACATGGGTTTACTTTGTTGTTCATGTACTTTTGCATTAGATTGCTTTGTAGTGTTCTTATTTCTGATTTTGTCATGGATTGTTTTGAGAAAAACTGCTTTAGACTTGGTGCACTTTCCTTTGATTGATTACATTCTTTGTTTTTATTATTTTTTGGTATTTTATTATCTACTGTTTTGTTAACATTGACAAATTTTTTAAAGTGGTCCAGTAATATTTTTGGAAGTATGTTTTCGGTTTCATTGAAGATATCAAAAGGTAAACCCCTTGACAAAAATTGTTTTTTATCGAGAGGTAAACCAATTAGCTTCTCGCGATTACTTTTTCTTAATGATCTTTTTCTTTTACTATTTCCTGGGTTAATACCCTCTAAAGCCGCTTCGTTGAGGTTAATATTCTCAATTAAATGTGTATCTAATTGGGCATTTCCAGCATCATGCTCATTTAAAAACTTATCCACCAAAATATCCTGTAAACTTTCGGATAAATCGCTTACAATTTTCTTTAAATAATCCGGTTGGGAATTATTTTCATTTCTCTTTTTTCTATCATACATTGTGGTATTTATAAAACCATATTCGGGGGCATAGATAGTTTTAAAACCATATAGAAACTCGCGTTTTTCATCTTCTTTCATCAAATCTATACCATCGTAGAGGTTAAAATTTATAGGTTGCCAAAACTTAAAGGATGAGGATATTGTAAAATCAACGTAAAGAATAATGTACACTGTCAAAAAAGTAACCAATTTCATGACAAAAGTCATATAATATACATGGTGTCAATCTAACGAAAATCTCATATTTATAATCTTAAACGATTTTAATAATAAAGCCTGAATTATAGATAGCCTTCCTTCCTTCCTTCCTTCCTTCCTTCCTTCCTTCCTTCCGTAGAAGATGAACAATACGAAAATCGTAGTGCCATTTATAGATTTCGGTACGGGACAACAGGTTTTTGTATTGTTCATCTTCTACGGGAGGAAGGAAGGAAGGAAGGAAGGAAGAAAGGAAGGAAGGAAGGAAGGAAGGAAGGAACGCAATCTATAAATCAGGCTTGTTGTGGGTTATAAAATAACCTTAAAATTGACATTTGACAGCCCTGATAGAATAAGGTTTATTTTTTACAAAAGAGGGGTAAAATGATTGTTCTTGTCACTTTGAGGATTCTTTTAAAGATTGCAAGTCTCTCTGTAAGAAACACAACGTTTAAAACGATTATTAATCTGTATAAACCCAAAGCACAAGAATTGTAAACAACAAAAATGGCCGCCATTAAATGATGTGCAGTGTTGCAGTGATTTTTAGTATTTTTAGTACGAAATCGAACAGACCTTGTGTGGATTGTGGATGTAACAAAAATAATCATTGCTGTAGTCAAAGTAATCTGTGTGCATAGACAAGGGATTGGTTGGGTGGGCGGGGGGTTAGTGTGGTTTTATTTGAAATTGCATTGACATTGACGTTGGCGTTGAAATTATATATTGAGTAGATTAGTGTTCTGGGCATCAATGGTTAGGTACTGTTTTATTTTTTCCATGTATAAAGACTTTGACTTTGACATTAAGAATGTCAACTTAAGCTAAATAAAACTTTTTAAAGAATATTCACTAGGTACCTATATATATTTTATGGATGTCGACGTAAGGCAGATTTTAAGAACATTAACAAATAACTAAGATGACAACCTAAACAATATTAAAAACCAAATATATTACCAGATCTAATTTATAAATACTATATCTGTATCACGATTATTTTTGTAGATGGTATTGGTTGGAAAGTGGTGGACTGTATTGCCCATGATGGCCTCGGCGACTCCTCTCAGAAGCTTCTAGATGACCAAGGATGTCCCATAGATGATATACTACTACCTATACCCACTTTAGGGCCCATTAGACCCATAGCAATGATGAAACAGCAAGAGGCAGTATCCAGATTTTCTGCGTTCAAGTTTCCTGATAGAGACAGACTTCATGTTTCATGCGGATTGCAGTTATGCAGAAAGGAGTGTTTGGAGGTTATTAGATGAAATTGTTATTATTTTTGTGTTTTTTGTATTTTTTGTGTATTTTAATATATAATAATTTCATTATTTTTAAGGTTGATTGTAGTAACTACAATGAAAATAGACTAGGCAGACAACTGTCCAAAGGTTCAGATGGCGAAATTTTAGACAGGCTGGAAGTTTTTAACAGTGTTGAAGTTTTGGCGCCAGAAATTGATGATTTACGTAAGAATGAAGGAAGATTAGTTACCACTGGTAAGTTTATATGTGGAAATGATGGTCTTGTAAATAAACTCTTTACTTTTGTAAATTTTAATATTTCTGATTCTTTAAACTGTATTTATATTTGTAAATATATTCTATCACACAACAGTTTTCTTTTTCAATCCTTGCACAAACCTTTAGCAATAGTTTAGGTTTTAAGTAGTAAGGTAAGTTGTATTTATCTTTTAAAGCCGTTAGCATTGCCGGCAGTTGCCGGTGTGCGAAATAAAATTTTCCGCCCTTCATAAATGAATATTTTCATTTCAATTCTTTACTCTTTTACAAATTTGTTTATGTGTTCATAATTTAAAGAGATTTCGAGATATCGAAACTCGATTTTTTATTACTTTTTACCTTTATATTATTTTACGTTTTAGCCAATCATACATCTAGGTAGACATTTAAAACATTATTATAGTAAAAGTTTAAAGTATTTTTTTACATTTATATTTATTGTTGGGGCATTTTTGTTACGTCAAAAAATAATCACCCATATTATAACAAGTGGTATGATTATCATCGATGATATTTTCGAATTGAAACCGAGCTGCAGATTTCACGAGTCCGCAGGACGAGTGAAATGTGCTGCTTCGGTTTTAATGAGTAAATATCATCGATAATTAATCATACCACGAGTTATATTTAGTGAGAAAATATAATGAATTTTAGGATTTAACGAATTTTTAGTTTGACATTTGAAATTAAAATGTGCTTTAAAATATAAAAAGACTTTAATAAACCTTATTTATTCAAACTTACCTTAATTTCATTATCGTTTACACCAACCCATCGATCTTTTAGAGTTTATAATTCATTATTTTATTGATATATATCAAAAACAGAATTGAAATGACAACAAATGTCAAATCAAAAAAACGTCAAAATTCATAGTAACGTGTAAACAAGATGATAAAAAATATTGCCGCTGTGATAAAATACGTCACTATGGAATACTGGCATTTTATTGGTTCTAATATTAATGAATTATATTGTCCTACGAATACCACCCGAAAGATCTATACATTGAAAATAATTCTTCAGATCTTTTCTCATACCTGTTGTCATTTGGCAATCCTGGATAATCCTACGAATACCACACGAAAGATCGATACATTGAAAATAATTCTTCAGTTCTTTTCTCATACCTGTTGTCATTTGGCAATCCTGGATACAGGTTTTTGTAAATATTTTGAATTATTTTTAATTTATTCTCGCTTTTTTGTAAAATATTTCTTCTAAAAAGATTTTGATTTGCATGTTTAACAAAATTAAAAATTATTATAATAGACTACACCTTTTCGTAGGGTTTTGGCTGAATTCCAATGAATTGCTACTAGTAGTATACTATGACTTAACGTGAAAAACTCAAATATGTACTCGTTTCTTAGCTAGTAATATGTTTTTATCAAAAGGTGCTTTGGCTCTCATGTTTTTTGGCAAAAGTTTTTGCGAAGCAAATTACTTGTCCACCAATTTATTAATATTTTCCGGCAAAATTGTAAACACTTAAATTTTTTTAATTTACTCAAAATCAACTAAAAGTTTTGTTTGCCGATTTAAAATGAAAATAACTTAAATATAAGCTTTCCGCCTCCTCTGATTTTCCGCCCAGTAGGGGCAGCCCTGCTGGATCATTTAAAGATGTAATTATTACTTAACATTTCAAAAACAAAATGACTTTAATATTCTGACAATACCACTAATCATTTTAATTTATTAACCCTTAGATACCCAAGCGGGGTAAAAACTTTCTTTTGGATTCGAGTAGGTAACCTTGCTTAAAGCTATTTGTCAAATAACGTTTGGGGTTATGTTTAAGAGTTTAAGATAAATTTTTTTATTTATTTTTTATTTATTCTAAATATTTTAGAATGTTCTTCATAAACATCTTTAATATAAATCCAATTATTGTTATTCTGAAGAAATTGAATATTTTAAATGGTATTGCAACACCGTTGGCCTCAAGTTTTAAAAAAAATTAACCCTGATGACCCCGCTTGGGTATTTACGTTGATTTGCGAGGGTAAAGGCGGTTTTTTTTGTTAAAAATGGGTACTTAAATAATTAAGGGCCTAAGAATAATAAACCAAAAAATCCTGTACGCGCGTTAGAAGTTACTTTTTGGCGTTACCAAATAAAATGTTCTGCTTGCAAATAATTTATGTACAGTCGTTGTCACAAATTCTTGTGTGTAACCTATTAAGCGCAATGTTTAAAGATTACATTAAAAAATTTGTAAAATTTTAAAAATTTGAAAATACTTATTGTCATTTTTTAAATTTACGAAACTGTACAAATTTGTCACACCACTTTTTAAATTTTTGCGAACTCGTCTTATCAATTTTTAAATTGCTAATATGTCTTGCCATTTTTTAATTTTATTCCACTGTGCGATTTTGTTCTATAATTTTTTTAAATTTATGCTATAGTATACTAACTGTTCGAATTTTTTGTATTTTTAAATTTATTATATTGTGTACATTTTTTCTACTATTATTTATATTCATGCCACTGTGCGAATTTGTTTTTACCATTTTTTAAAGTTATGCAACCGTGCGAATTTGTCCTACTCTCTTTTAAATTTATTCCAGTGTGCGAATTGTTCCCACCACTTTTTAAATATATCCTACTTTGAGAATTTTTTCCCGCATTTTTTTTTAATTTATGCTACTGTGCATTTTTTTCACTATTTTTTAATGTTGAACTACTGTGCGTACATATGTGTTTAAATTTCGGCAGTTTTCAATTAACCGAAAAATAATTCTTGTGTGCACTTAACACTCTTAACACAAATAAATTAAATGTAGGGGACATCGCCGACGGTGGACGAGTGGTTAGTGCTGCTGACTATACAAGCCGGAGGTCGTGGGTTCGAATCCCACCAGGGGTATGGCTGTTTATTTGTGTTTGTCCTATTGTGTAATAGTCCTTCGGAGGGGACTTCAAGTCCGCGGTCCGTTCCTACCCCTAACCCGCACAAGCCATTCAGTTGGCTTATGGGACTTTTTAAGAAGTAAGGGTGGAACTATAAATGAGCACTTTTGTATACATCCACACATATACAAATCATTGTAACTGTTGCCTTTTCGTGGGGTTAAAGTAGGGGAAGTGAAAATACCCGTATGATTGCATTAAGGCGCATGCGTGGCCGTTTAAAAAAATACCATATTTTTGTCCCTATTTGGGAAGTATAATAACTAATTATTAATAAATTGTATAAAAATTGTATAAAGAAAGCATTAAACAAAAATAAATATACACAAAATGATGATATTTTATATTTTATAATGGCATTTTTATAAAATTGTTTTTTCATTTTTTGTGGCTTTAACATTATATGCATGTTATGCCACTTTTTGCTTTTTATAAAGCCAATTCACAGAATTGTATGTAAGCTTAACCTAGGAGTAATCAAATGATTTTGAAAAATTTTATATGACCTAAATTTTATTTAGTTGACAATTCGTATCATACGTGGACGTATTAATATGTCTATGGTATCATATATATTTTAAATCTCCCACTTATGAACTGACTATGTGCTTAAGGTAAGATCATACGGCAAATCGACAAATTTCCCCTCAAAAGCAATCTACCCAATGACAATGGTTTTGTATATTAAATGTCAGCATATACACGTGAAAACGCAATATCAATTTGAAGATTTTTTTTAAATATTGTGATTTTTAATGTAAAAACATCGTTCTTAAAATTACTGAAGCAATGCAATTTGATCTGAAAGATTTTTACTCCAACGTAAAAACTTCTTTCTGCAAAGAAAAATAGCGTTGTCAGTAAATAAAGGTAATAAAGTCTAAGCAATGTAATAAAGATCCATAATCTTTGCAGCGTCTTATTGTAGAAAAAACTAAACCAACAATGTTGCTTATGCAAGGCAATAAATTAAATTAAGTCTTTACCATGCAATTTGATGCAGCATTGTTTGAAATCGAGAAGGGCACCCAGAAAACTACATTGGCAATGATTTACTCGTACAAAGATTAAATAAAATTGAACATTTGTAATTTAGTGCATTGTATTTTTAAATAATGGTTTTAATACGTGTTGATAAATGTGTTGAGATATTTAAAAGAACACATGGTTATTAGTGGAACAAAAAATCAACTGGTGATATATGGAAGTCCGAACTACATCTTAATGATTATTTATGACTTGATACCTAATCAATAATGCTGAAAGCTTTAGACATTTTTTTAACGATGCCTTGTAAAAAATTAGTTAAAAACAGTAAGTGCTATTCTTACAAGCATAACCAATCGCTTTGTTCTATGATTCAATCTGATCTAAAGGTCCGATAAGCGCATAAAATAAGGAAGCTGCGGAATTTTTGCCCCAAAGAATGCAAAAATCAAATCGCTAATCTCCATGACTCAATATAAAGCCGCAACAAAGGAGCGTGAGAATACTAAAAAACGGGAGCAATTTGTATTGTTTAAACGTTTTGTACTTCGTACTAATAAGGATGGGTTGAGTTCACCTATGTCGTACGCGAATGATAAGATCAAAGCACACGTTTTGATTTATTTGGGAATAATTTAGCTGTGTTGGTACAATGTTAAACTTATTAAGACATGACGTTTATTATTATGACGACTTTACTTTTTATGGAAAGTGGTTTTTATCGAAAGTAATTAACAATCTAGTTTGCGTTGGAGAATGCTGTGCTCTGATTGGTTAATCACTTCCGATATAAACCAAACCGAACTTGTAAAAAACACACCTTAAGCTGTAGCTCCTTAAAGGTAGCGGTAGCGGTAGAAAGTAAGAGGTAAGAGCGGTACCACTTTCTGCAATTTATAGTTGAGAATGTAGTGGTAGCAGTACTGGCGGCGTCAGTCATTTTGTTAGTAAGTTTGACAGCAAAGCTTTAATTTTCCTGGATTATTTTTTTCTTCCTAATCATGTAAAATTTTAATATGGCCGCCATAGGAAAAACAAAAGATGGAGGTGGTATCTCAAAATCCAGTAGGCCCAAAAAATCACAAATTAAATGAAAATGTAAAACTTTCTTTTTTTTTAAATTCTCAGGTATAACGTCTAATTTAATCGACCTTGTAGCTCTTCAAATAGAAAAGATATACCCATACATAGAAGGAAAATTGGTGCCCTCTGTATATATAATATAGAAGTATACTATAAAATACCGTACTTTCATTTTACATGTAGACAGGCCGTATTCGGTTTATAAGAGTGGGAAACGTCGAGATACGGTTTTCGTAATTCACCGGCGTTGGGTGATAGTCGAAGTTTGCTCTGGATTATTAATACGAATTATACATTATTAAGTTAATTTACTTTTAAAAATGATTCAGATACTTAAAATGTACCTAACGTAATCACTTCTAACAGTCAATTATTAATTAAAGGTGTAAAATCATTATTTGTTTAAAACGTTTAAACATAAAAAAATCTCTTTAAAAACTAAAATAAAAAAATTAAGCAATTCTCTTGAAAACAAATTAAAATAAATAAATCAATTTCCTTAAAACAAAACTAAAAATCAAACTTCTTAAAATAAATTTAAATAAATTAATTAAATACAACCATTACTTTCAAACCTTTCAATAACGTTTGTTATTGTTCTAATTGATATTTTACTGAGAATAGGTCTCTTCTTTGACGTAGAGAATTTCCAACTAAATACCCGCTTATCATGTCAATTTTCTCTTGCAATATGCAGGACATTATAATTTATAATTTTAAATAAAAGAAATTAATTTATGTTAAAACGCTCGAAATACACACTAGCAAATGCAAAACATAACTGAATCGTCGCCTACGGAAACCCGCTTACAATGCATCTGTAGAGGGGCATCTGGAAAGGGACGTTCGGGTTCACTCGGGTTTATTTGAATGTATATATTTCAAATGAAAATATGGTATATTATAGTATACTAGGGTTGCCTTTATTTAACCCTTTATAGGGCAGAATCCATTAATTGTTTTTTTTTTTTTTGGTAAGACCTACCTATTTTGTATGTCTTAATGATTATATTGAAAATCCAACTGTTTTTTTTTAATTTATCATGGTGGATAAAATGGAAACCACTGCCCATAAGAAGATAGATGGGCGGTGGTCTAAATGCGAACCACATATTTAATTTAATCGGTTTTTTTTGCGTTTCTGAAAGGATTTTAGTTTTTTTTCAGGACCAGGTAAAATAATAACATGGTGTTCACTGAAAACTGTCATTATTCTTATCTGGAAACGGTTTTAGTAAATTTCAATTTCTCAAAGTTTCTTAATTTTTTTATTCTACCTAATCTTGTGTTTGTGACTAAGTTACAGTGGCATTTCTGTGATGCATATTTTTATTTTTATTTTCACTGGTCAATTTTCAAAAATGACCTACTACTGCAGTACCATGGTAGTTTTCTCTGAATCTGATAAGTAATCGCGATACTGAGTCATCTGAAAGAACATCTGCATCGGAGTCATTTTCACCCTCAAATCTATTCAAAATTTGTTTTCTGAAATGTATACTGGGTGTTCGCTCACTACGATTACGTAGGCTGGATTGTGCTGAAGTATTGGCAGAAGTTACTTGTAAACATGAAGATGTACTTGGTGAATTAGACGAAAAGTACTTGGGGACTCTTGATGAGAGGAACTTGGTGTAACTAATGCTCGTCGCTATCGCCCTCAATCTCCGAATCTATAGCCTGATCTTCGGTTATACCAACGACTAGATAAAATAGTTTACTTGAATCCAATTTTTCAAAAAACCAAAAAATACTGGACGTTTATAAGCATGGATTCAATAGTCTCACGGTATGTGAGCTTGATAGAGGTTATGTTCCAAAACGATCTAAATATTTCGTTAGCGCTAACCTATTTTCCAAGTACTATTATCACAAGTTGTAAAGCATTCAATTACCTTTTGAATTATGTGTGTTGTCAGGTAAAACAAATATGCTTATGCTCGCTAGCAGCGACAATTACTGCAAATGTTACTTTTTCGGCAATGGTTAACATAGAGACCACATTGGTTCTAACAGGTGCCAAATTTAAATTGTGGCCAATATGATAGCCACTGCAAATTATGAGTTCATTTATTTGTACTTTGGTCAAAGTTTGGGTTCTCTCTCATTTCTAAATAAGCTGTAATGGATGTGGTTAACATAGAGACCATAAACCTATAAAGGGTTAACATTTATAGTTTTGTAAAACCTTGGACTAAAGAGTGGATAACCAGAAAGTTAAGTTTTTCATATTTTCATATTTTTATTTTTATAGAACCTTCCGTCTACCCCTTCACCAACCTGCCAGGCGACCGAACATTCTGCGTGTCCCCCGACAAAATGGCGTTGGCTTTCTGCGTGCTGGGCCTAATCTTTCTCACCGCTGTCGTGGTATCGGCGTGCGCCCTCTTGCGGGCCAGACGTGGAGGAGTGGACGTGCCCTCGTACTACACCAGGAGTTTGTTCTCCTCCTCCTCGAGCAGCGGGTGTTCCCCGTCGGCGTTCGGCAGCAAATTGCTGCTGCAGGATAGCCCCTCCTGCATGCGGCAGTCGCCATCTAGCGGCCTGCAGTACGGCAGGATCCTCTGAAGACTGAACTTCTGTTCTACCATAGCTATGGATAGGTTAATTAGAATACGGTGGATTGCACTTAATTCAAAGAAAATTTGTTTTAGACAACAGTTACTGTTGAGGATTTTTACCTTAGGGATATTCATCTGACCACTTTTTCATCAAAGGTTTTTAGTACCAACAATTGTTTAGAATTTTTTTTATTTTGCATATCAGTTAGATAATATATTTTGGGGTATTTTGTGCAAGACACTGTATTAAAAAATATGACTATTCCGTGTTCCTGCAAAATTTGCTTTTAACAAGTAATTTTTAGGTTTTGGGATACGGAATACTCTTTTTAATTTAGATTTTTCGAATTTTATTTCATTCAAGTTGTAAATATTTGGTGTTGGTTGGTTTATACTATGTGTATTATCTAATTTATTATTTTGAAGAATTGTTTAGTTTTAAAGTAATAAATTGTTCCTAAGTATATTTTGTTTTATTTTATTAACTGTCATGCTCCTATAACCTCAGTAACACATGTAGGGAAAAACAAAGAGCCCAAGAGCCCAATTCTATACTACTCTGGCCCAAGCTTTGATGCCCGACTGGGCCAAGGTTGGGTGAGACTTGAAACGATAACCTGGCATAATGTTGGGCCAAGACTGGTAATGAACCTTTGGGCCTGGACAATATATTGAGGCCTGGGCAAATGTTGGGTGCTTAAAACTGGCTAAAGCTTGGGAGCCAAGGCTTGCTCTTAAAAGCCTGGCAAAAGCTAGGTCAGAGACTTGAAAACCAAGAGTCGGTTTTGAAAGTCTAACCGGGGCTTGGTCACGGACTTGAAGCCAAGACTTGGTCTTGAAAGTCTTGCTGAAGTTTGCTCAGAGACTTGGGAGCCAAGACTAGGTCTTGAAAGTCTGACTAAAGCTTGGTCAGATTGTTTTTCAGTCTTGGCATTTTTAACATGTGAAGTAGAGAAAAAAAATCATCGAAAAGACCAATTGATTATACTATGCAAAAATTTACCTACATAAATGGTTATAAAAATTATTTCTTTTAATTTTTAATAATATTTTATATTTGATTCGATTGCTTTGGATGTGTTTAATTTACTTAGTGAACTGATATTTTTAGTAAGCTTTTACTACCTCGGATATTTGAAAACATATAGGTTAACCTAGAAAGAGTAACAGTCACGGAGGATAGGTTATATACATGCTTTTTAAACTATTGTATTAATTTATGTCCTATAGTACAAATATTGTAACTGTCGCGCTACGAAAATAATCAATTTTGTATGTGTGCACCGCGAACTGAATACGGTAATTATGAGTTTTAAGAAAAACATGATAGTATGCCAAACGTTTTTAATTGTTTTTTAACGGTTTACATTTTTTTTATTTACACTGTGGTTCATATTTTATTTAAAAAACAAATTTTGATTTGTAATTTTTCAAAATCATACCTGAAAACACAAAGGAAAAAAATTAAATAAATTAGTCAAAAATGAATAATTATAAGTTATATTTGACTAATCGACATAGCGAAAAAGCAGTCACTAATAATTAGTTCCTACCGAATAAAACAGTCAAGTAAGATTTATATTAAAAAAAAATTACTCAGCCGGGGTTTGAACTCGGATCTGTCACTTGTCAATCGGATGTATAACCGCTGCGCCATTGCTACTTTTATAAAAATTAGTTTTATTTGTGTAGTAACATTGTTGATAATATTTTAAAGTTGAATATCTTTTTTGAGCTGCTGTTTTAAGCTAAACTTTTTAAATCTTTGTTTGTTTTTAGACCATTTAACCATGGAGCCTATACCTAGTATACATACATTTAACTCTTACAATAATTTATTGTTGGCCGCAAGAATTAAAAACGATTAAAGAAATTAGTTACTTTTTACTCTCAAAAACAAATGGTAAATTATCTTAAATTAGTCAAGTTTGCAAACTTTAAGTATTTAAGTAGAAAAAAATAACTATTTAAAAATTAGTACACAATGATGCACTAATTCAAATAGTAGAATTTTGACTATTTCATTTTAAGAGAGCACTGTTAAATTAAATATTAATAAAAAAATCTATACAGGTAATATTATATTTAAGAAAAAAACAAGAAAACTAAAAGGCAAACTATACTTTCTGTACATATCTAAGATTTCAAGTTAAGCAGCCAACACCGTCTTAAGTAGGTATCTATTTCTTGCAATAACGTAGATGAAGATAACGAAGAAAATAGGTATAAAATTTATTTATCGAGAGCAGCAACCATTAGCTTTAAGTACGGTAATTAACATAAAGCCTGAACAATGCTAAACGGACACTGATTGCAATTGGTAGGAGGAACCCAGCTGCAGATTTTTCATGAAAAATCACTTCGGCATAAACCATTTTCTATTGGTCACGAATAACACTTTTCATTTAGACATTATCACTTTTTATCAGCTATAAATTGAATTCTCAAGTACCTAGATACAATAGGCAGAGTACTTAAGACAAAAAATCATACTTTTATTTAATTAACTTCTTATGAATTTTTCCAAATGACATAACTCTAAAAAGACACTTTTATTAAAGAGGTATATTTAAAATATGGCTAAAGAAGATTGGGCATGTCGAATTAATCCGATTAGGTAGTATACAAAAACTATACCGTTTCAAATAAAATATTTATTATTAAATGCAGTGTGTTTAGTTACACTTTATTATCTTGTTATTATTCATAGTACAGTCCATACAGTATGTATAGTACAGTTCATAAATGATCCATTTTGATCCAGCCGTTTTGCATACGCTCGAAACGTAATTTGCATATTTTGGATTAATTATAATTATAATAATACGTTTAAAATACGAGTCAAATTATTTTGTTAAACCAGAAAGTTGCATATTGCATTTTACCACTGTTTGGTTCACAATTATAATGCAATCAAAAGTGGGCAACAAAATAAAAATCAAGAAATGCTGTCCTCCCCTAAACATTTCTAACCCAACCCAATTTAGTGCATATTGTTGCAGATATACTACAATCAGTATTTCAGAAAAAAAACAGTTGGTGATTGTCTTTTTTCTGAAATACTGATTGTAGTATATCTGCAACAATATGCACTAAAGTCCTATATCTTTTTCTAGCATGAGTGGCACACTGATGAGGAATTTGCTACCTACATATTGTTTTTTTGTTTTTTTCAAAATAAATTTTTGTATTCGATTTTTTTAATTATTTTTCCTATGTTATATTAGCCATTTTAAAACGTTTCATGTATATCATAAAATACTATGCATTAGTAGTAGAGTAGTACCTTTAGGTGTAAAGCGTATACAGTGTATACTATACTATACTATACACGCGCCAGGAGCAGAAATGACTACGCGCGGTTGATTTAAGTATAATTTTGAAAATTCTTATTTGATTGTATTAAAATTAATATAATAAAGAACATGGATAAAGCTATACATTTTGTAAATTTTATTAAAATTGGACAAAACATCTTCGCGTGACAGCACAAAATTGAGAAAGTTTGGCTAAAAAAGTTTTTATTCGTTAAGAACAAGCTTTTTTATAAGGGGATATCTTTATAAATGTTTTTGTATTATTAGGACACATAATATGTAGCTACGTATATTACCAATGATCCTTGTTAAAGTATTAAAAAAAATGCTTTCCTCAAAATATCGCCAAAAAAGTATTTTATTAAGCAAAATTATGGTCATTTTTTTAATCAGTCAAATTAGCCTAAAAAAGTTTTTGGCTACCCTGCAGCAAATAGAATATTTTATTTAGTCCCCAGTAGCACAAAGATATTGGCGCAACATTCGTAATAATATTGGGCCAATATATCTTTCGTCACATTTTTTCTAGCATGGTCCAATATTGAAACCCAACATTGGCCCGAAGTTGTTTGACATTATATAATCGATATTGGAAATCCGCATTGGCCCGAATTTGTTTTACATTATATTCTAGGAAAGTTGAGGGAGAAATTGAAAGAAAAAAAAGATAGCCACCTGGTACTAACTACGTAGTAGGATTTCTAAAAGTGATATGTCACGACAGAGCTGTGAAATTTTGTACTTTAAGAACTTTTATGTACTCGGTACTCAGTCCAGAGTACATTTTAAAAAAAGTACTTGTACTTGTACTTATATAATTTAAAAATGTAAAAATGGACACGAGTACAACCAATGTGTACTCGAGTACATTTTTTGTACTCGAGTACATTTGATATACTCAAGTACTTTTGTTGTACTCGAGTACATTTAATGTACTGGAATACTTTTGTTGTACTCGAGTACTTTTTCTACTCGGCGTCTTTGTGTTAAGTTAACATAACCACTACTATAGTGGCACTACATATTCAAATTTATCGCCATAATTATAATGCTTTAGCAGCTAAAGTTTAACGGTTCGGCAACATTCGGAATAAATCCTCGATATGGGCAAGTTGGTAAAATATCATTGTGGTGCCCGTGCCCGAATGTAAGTTATAGTTTACTGCCGGCGAAATTAAAAGGTCAGTTCATATAAACTTTTCAAATATTGGCGTTGAAGAACTATTTAATATAATAAACTTGGATTTTATGCTATTTTAAAAAAATTTTAAAAATACACATTGTTTCAAAAAATGCAAAATTTTGCAAACTTTCAAAAAAAAATTGCAATTTTTATTTTTTTGCAAAAACGGTATAGCCCATTGAAAAGTACGGAAAAAATCATTTAAGGTGGTTAAATTAAAATATTTAATAAAGAGATGAACAGAAGTTATGAATTTTTAAATAAAAAGCGATTTCACCAAAAAGTAAAAAATCGATAATTTTCAATAATCCATAACTCTTGAATGAACAATCCTAGAGCAAAAAAAATGTATGCTATGATTCTTCGTTATAAGAACAACAAATAAGTAAAGTTTAAACAAAATCGGTGACAAAAATTTTTTCACCTGGTACACTTGGTAAATTTTGCCCCATATACAATTATCAAAATTTAGACTTTTTACACTGATTAAAGTAGGTTTAATAACTGGAAAGTTTTTCTTGGGAGAATCCACATAAAAGAAGGAAAAAACTTTATCTATTTACAATAAATAAATTGTTTATTTTAAAAAAATATTTTAATAAATTAACAACAAAGAAGTCAACCTTCTGAAAGAAAATTTTTATTTAAATTTAATGACCAGTTTAACTGCGTATTTTTTTGTAAATAATCATGTAAAATAAATGTTTTTTATATTTTTAATTTTTTGTATAAATAGTATACTATATAGCC